CTATTGTCCAGCTTGAGAGTAGGGACTGAGAGTTCCCTCGTATTCAAATGCTTTCTTCCATGAGTTTAGTGTGCTTTTTGTTGCCCTGGACTAAATCAGGCTAAAGGAAGAGAAATAATAGACTTGGAACAATGTCTATTTGAAAGATTTCATTTCACCTTAAAGAAAAAAAGGGAAGATGAGTTCTCATTGAGCATGAGCAGGAAAAGAACAATTAAGTCTTCCTACACCCACTGTATGGTTTCCAGGTGTTAAGGAAGGGATTTTTTTTGGTTGTTGTTGTTTTGGTCGGGGTATTTTAGGCAGCAGAATTACATTGCATTTGGATCTTACTCAGTTTTAATCCAGGCTGATTTAATGCCAAGGAGAGCAGAGAGGCAGAGGCCAAGTCCAAATTTTCCCGTGCAGCAGCATGGTGCATGTCTTCTTGGCAATTCTCCATGCATTTCTATGAAATATCTTATCTTGGGATTCCAGTATGTTGGAAAAGAAAATGTTATTTCATAGTCAGTACGTAAGTGCAATCCTTGGCCACACCAGCAGTGACCAAAAAGCCTTAAAGATGTTCCTGTTTCTTGTAGACTTGAAAAGTGAGATTTAAACTGAGCTCATCCCACCCCATTGACTGCTACAGGAGGAAGCCCCACCAGCTGCGTGCAGGTGTTGGATTAGCAGCCCCTCAGAACAAGGGCTCCTGCCCAGAAGCAGGAGTACAACTTTCCACAGCAGTCCCACTTGTGCACCTGCAGTTTACACTGAATGAAACATACCAGAAAAGACTTTCAGCCAAGAGTCATCACCCTGTTTCGTAGCTCACCGCTAACCCACCAAACCCCACAGGGGTATTGCAAATGTGAAAGAGGAGGGGGAGCTGGTCTCTTTGCAGAGCACTGTTTCTCTCCAAAATTGATAAGGTGATATTTTGAGCCAGAAAAACAACCTGCTAGGTATTTAAATGGGAAATGAAGACCAAAAAATCTTTATAAGGCACAAGGAGTTTTTTAGCTAATTAAACTATTATGTTTTTTTCCCTTTTACTTGAAAGTCAGGGATTTTATTGTCAGCAGTTTTCTTTATTACTCTGCTTTGTGTTTTTCACTTCATCAGTGTCATGCTTTGATCAGTATGAAATTTTATTAATAGGACTCTTTTTCCTGGGCATGTGCTTAGATCTTTTTCAGAACATCACCAAGAGTATCTGCCAGGGAACAAATCTGGCGAAAGACTTTGAATGGTATTGGCATTGTCTGTACGCAGGTGTAACTTTTGATATGTTCTGTGTGGTGGGTGCTCTTTAAAGTAGTCTTTAAGCTATGAAGTAAGGGAGAAATGAGTCAGTAAAATTTAGAATTAACATTGTTTATCTTATGAATACATTCTCCCTGGGGACATTCAGGGCCAGGCTGGATGTGATTCTGAGCAACCTGATCTAGTTGAAGCTGTCCCTGCTCGTTGCAGGGGATGTGGACTAGATGAGCTTTGAAGGTCCCTTCCAACCCAAACTACTCTATGATTCTATGGCTATGTTTATGATGGCATTTTATGTAATGTCTTTTCTATAACCATCTGTGTCTTTATTCTATTAGGAAGGTTTAGAACTCACTTGCATGTGCACATTATTTGCCAGTGGTATTTTCTAAATGATGAGTTTTGCAGCAGTGGGAAGTGACTGCTTTCCGAGGGCTTTGACCCACACAGCTTTTCACCCCTGGTTTGGGTGACTTTGCAGGTGTTAAACAGGATCACGCTGCAGCAGGAGGGTCCGACTACCGAAGATATGGCTCTCGGAGCTGTTTTAGTTACACTTCATCATCACGAGCATATGGTTTCACTTCCAAGTGTTTAACATTTCCATTTCCTCAGGAAATCTTTCTTTCTATTTTTCAAGCTCTCGAAACTGGATGGATATATTTTTTTTTTTTGACACGACCATCAGCCCCAGCCGTAGGGAGCCCCTGGCTGCGGTACCCGCCTGGCTCTCCATCCCCTCCCCTCATGCAGCACTTCATGAGCACGGCTCAGGGTGCTTTATCCAGGTCTCCGGGGCACAACACACTGTTAAAACACTTCTGCTTTTCCCTTACTATAACAAAACTATCCGCTCCTTTTCTCTGCTTTAGCTGAGAGAGGTGTTTTTCTTTCTTAGTCAATTCCAGGGCCCATGCATCCCAAGAATGAATTGGGAGCAGACTCCTTTAGCCGACTTAGTGAGGCCAACAGCAAGATCAGGGCCTAAGAAAATACTCTGTGTCACCTAGAAGGAATGAAAGCAGTTGCATCATGTATTTATTGTCTGCATGGGTAGATCCAGCACTTAAATGAACACGACTGAGGAGTGGATGGCTCCAGGGAGCTGCTTTCGCTCTTGTGTTTTCAGAGATTATTTCTGGCATTTCCTTTTTCCTCATTACAAACAGGTCAGCCTTCTCATATGTTGGCCAAGTCATGCACCATAGGAGGAAGTCTGTGCTCGTGTCTTATGTTTCATTTAGCCACATATGTAATAGTGTGTAGCTGATGGTTTTCTTTTCCTGCTACCCTACGAAGTGCAGTTATTGGATGTGCAATTTGCATGTTATTTAGCTGATATCACCGGTCCTTTTGTCAGAAAAGCATCCTCTGGTACAGTGAGAGTCACCATATCATAACAACTTTGACAACTAACTACGTTTTGTGCGACAAGCCTTGCCACTGTGCATCAAATAGCACTGTAATAGAGAGAACATAGGGCAAAGTAGCTGATTAATGTATCTGTTCCTTTGTGGTTTATCCTGTTACAAGTTTAGACTATTGCATACTTTGCACTGCTTGTTTAACATGAGGAAGCGCGCTGTGGGTTTGGGCTCCTAGAGGGATTGAGTCCTGCCATCAGGCAGGCTCTGTGCTACCAATATTCAGGGTATATATTTTATTCATACCCTCAGAAGAGTGAGTTACTCAAGGTAGCAGAAAACAGCATCAGACAGAGGTAGTTCAGCCTCTGGACCTCCCAGGAGAGCTCACCTGAGCTGCTCAGCCTCTGGCTTTGTGCTGGCCTCTGTGACATTGTGAGCTGCTGTTTTGATTCACTCAGGCTCTTTCCTCCCTTGCTTACCTTAGCTCTGTGCATGTCTGCACATCCCTGCAGCAATTGCCTCCTCACTAGAAAAGCTACTTGGTCAAGCAGCACAAGCTCGTACCATCCACAAGGACACCGCCAAGGCTGCTCAGCGTCCAAGTGAGCCTCTGCTGCCTTTCTCCTGTGCATGTCTGTGTCATGGTGTTCCACACTGGAGGTTCCAGCTCATACAAACAAACCAGTGCCATGGGCTTGCTGCTGATAGATAGATAAACTGGAGGTCAAGATAGGATTTACACAGTGATTCAGATCCAGTTTTGTTTGCTGGAGGGTATCAAATCTTCTGGATAGAATGAGTGATACCCTGATCCAAAATGGACTAGCAATGCCAGCCACAAAATGGTGGTGTTACGTTGTTCCAGACTGCTTCACAATAATGGACCAGAGCGGGACCATACTGAATGAAAATCACAGTCCATGTCTCGAGCGACCACCCTGTAGGTGCATCAGGGGCCAGTTCCTGAAGTACAGCCATACCTGCACACAGGCACAGCACTGGGCAAGCACCCTCTTTCCCCTTGCAAGAGGCAGCCTTGGGTGCTCCTGTCATCTGCCACCCAACTACAGCTTAACAAATCCAACATGTCATCCAGCACTTTCCATTCAGGATTGATGTCCATTGCAGAACATGGTCCCCAGGGTCTGACCTGTGATGAGTGAGTCCTTTGGCTGGGTGCCTCCATGGCAAAGGTGGGCTCCATCACATCACAGTTCTCCTTGGTGCAGACGGAGCTGAAGGGTGCAGGGGGACAAAGCAAAGGAGGAATAAAAGACGTTGCAGGAGCAACTGTAGGCCTGAGAGAGAAGTAGCCAAGGCACTGACAACTTGTGTGGGTTTCACATGTCTGTTTGCAGTGCTATGTTATGTGTTTAGGAGCTGGTTGTTTCCATAATAACAGCAAGTGCCATATGGCAGCGAGGAGGGTGGTGAGAGGAACGCTCAAGGAAACACAGTATGTTGTTTGACATGTGTGTGCTTCTAGAGGAATAACATGTCTCGAGCAAGTACTGCTGCTCCAAAGAGGCTGGGGATTTGCTGCTCTCACCAGAAAAATATCATAGCATCATAGAATGGTTAGGTTTGGAAAGGACCTTGGCATTTGTACTGGTGCAATGCCAGTTGATGATGCCTGCCCTTCCCCCAAGTTTTCATGCAGATAGTCCCTGTTATGGGTAAAAACCCTTTTGCTTTACTGGGAATGATGTTTCTGGATGCACCAGCACAGGGGAATGGCATTTAAACACGGTGTTTAAGGGGAAATACAGTTCTGTAAAGGAGTGCTGTGTGAACTGAAACCAGCTAGATGCCATATGCTCCATCCATTCATTAATGCTCAGCAAGTAAATAGCACACATTTTGAAACCTTTTAAAACGCATAGTTTGCAATAATAGTTTAGTAGAGAGTGGGTTGAGCATTTCCAGAGATTAAGGGCACTTTAGTGCGTATCTAGGAGGCATCCAGGAAGGTCTCCACAAATTCCAGCTTTCCCTGCCCTTTAATGTATGACTCACATTTCAAGGACTTGTAATTTGCTCCCCACATTCCCACAGACACCATCAGGCCGAGCGGTACCTTTGCAGAGTGCATATATTTCCACCGCAGAAACATGGGGAATTATTTTTTCATGATATCTGAATGGCTTTTTGCGGGATTTGTACCAACATCAGCTCTACAAAATTGAGCCTCTCTTGTCTGAGTCTTCAAGCCATTCATTATGTTTGTATTTGGATACCTGAAACATGGTGCGGCGGGGAGAAGGCAGCAGTTTTGAGTTGGGGACAGAGTTTTGCGCTCCCTTGCAATGCATTAAAAGTGCTTAACTAAGCCAAAAGGCAAAGCTCTTCTCATTTTCATGCTTTTCTTCTCTTTATTGCCTCTAGAGAGAGATTACTGCAGCATATGTGAAAAGCAGCCGATCGGAAGGCTTCTCTTTCGGCAGTTCTGTGAAACTCGACCCGAGCTCGAGTGCTGCATTAGGTTCCTTGACTCAGTGGTAAGTCAATTCCTGTGATATTTTGGGGTGCTTTGCAATGCTGTCCTGGCAGAGGAGACTCCCCTGACCCCAAGAAATGGCTGTTGCGTGGGACCCCAGCAGCATCCCAGCATCACCGGTGGTAGAGGTGCAGCGCTGCATGAGGGGTTGGTACCAGCCCTCATGAGATACTTCACTGGTACCAGCCCAGTGGCTCATAGGGAGCATGAGCCACTGGGCAGGAGAAGCATGTTCTGGCATGGCCTCTCTTCATGTCAAACCCAAGCAGCTGAGCTGCTCTGAGTAATGTCTTTTGATGTGGATGAAACCTGCAGTGCTGGGAGGCACTGGGAGGAAAGGGAAGATGGACTGACAAGAGAAGATAACTGATAATACTAATATCCATCTCTTACCAAGCCTTTTTATCAGTAGACTGCAGGGTGATTTAGAGAGGACATCCTGATTGTTACCCTGCTTTTCAAATAGGAAAACAGAGGCACAAGGTGTAGAAGTGACTTGGTTGAGTGAGGTCACCAAGAAACCATTTTCCACCCCAGAAAGCTATCAGTTAACGTGGCCACTGAGCAACAGCCTCAGCCCCAGGGATATCCAATGCTCTTTCCCAGTCTGGCAGCACTTGGCCATGTGTCGTGACAGCAGGAGAATCTGTTCACAGTGAAGAAGCCTCCCAGTGGCTTTCTTACTGGGAGCCTGCGGAAGGGGAGGGTGTTGATGAGCCAAAAGGCTAAACTGTACCAGAGAGGAAGACAAACTTGTCAGTGCTGAGTGTGAGTGCCCATGGCAGGCTTTGCTCTCTGGCTGACACTGACAGTCAAAAGCAAAATGATGCATACCAACAGGAATAAAATCACAGTCACAGAATCATAGAATCATTGCTTGGAAAGGACCTTAAAGCTCCTCCAGCTCCAACCCCTGCCACGGGCAGGGACACCTTCCACTAGAGCAGGTTGCTCCAAGCCCCTGTGTCCAACCTGCCCTTGAACACTGCCAGGGATGGGGCAGCCACAGCTTCTCTGGGCACCCTGTGCCAGCGCCTCAGCACCCTCACAGGGAAGAGCTTCTGCCTCAGAGCTCATCTCAATCTCCCCTCTGGCAGGTTAAAGCCATTCCCCTTGTCCTGTCCCTACAGGCCCTTGTCCAAAGCCCCTCTCCATGGTGAAGCTATTCTGAAGTATAGGGGGATGTGAGGATTGCACTGAAATTGTAAGAGTCTGGGAGAGGACATGTGGTCACTTAGAGTTTTAAAGTTTGTTGGTACTGCCGTATGTACAGCAAAGCTCCAGCATCCCAGAAAGAGTTGATTAAAGACCTGTTCAAATCAGTTTTAGCTGGTCACAACTTCTACCTGATATTCCTAGCACTGGTCATGATTTTCCCCAATGAAGGTTTTAGCCATCAAGGTGTGTGGAACTGTTGCATCTGACAAATGCTCTGGGCAGCTATGCTGAGTGCTGGCAGGCAGGAGGACATTTCGGGTACCCTGGTTGTGTTGGTCCTGCACTGAGCCAGCATCCTCTAGTGAGTTGTCTGCTACTGATGGAACATCACACATCCATCTGAGGGGAGGCATCTCCACAGAAATACCACATAGGGTGTGATGCTTACAGCCCCAAGTAGCTGGGTGTTGGTCATCCCTCTAGGAAGCCACAGAAACCCTTTTGGAGACAGCCATAAAAGACTGCTTCCAAATGAGTCTAATTTCAGACAGAAGAGACAGAGCTGTCCTCAGTTTGGAGAGGGTCAGCAAAGCTTCTCTTTTCTCATGCCTCCTTGCAACAGGCATCATATTTGGTTCCAGCAGCACCCAGAGGCTGCAGAGAACAAGCCCACATTGTGTGAGCCTTGCACACGCCTGGCAGGGGTAAGAACATCTGGGTTAAGGGAAACATTACTGTCCCCCTTGTGTCTTGCCTATGTCCTCCCTCCCAGTGCTACCCCATGATAACCTTTGCCTGGAGGCCTCTCCCAGCAGTGCCAGCAGTGGGAATTGAGGGCACTGTGTCCTTTCATTCTCCTAAAGCTCTGTGGAGTGGTGCCAAGCACTGAAACTCTGGGTCTTCCCAACATTCATGCAGCATAGGCGACACTGGAGCTCCTAAAGCTTGTGGTGGGACTGGATTTGTTTTAAAGCTCCTTCTACAAGCAATCCTAGACTCACATCCCTGAATCTTTCTGTGAGCGTGTGCTTTGCATCCATTCCTGGGTTGCTTTTGCAGACTGGAGCTGTCCTGCAGACCTTTACTGGGCCAGTGATCTCTTCCCAGTTAGGCTCAGACTGGCACTATGAGGGTTTCATTACAAAATGCCTGGCTCTGTGGAGGTCGGAATATTTATGCTTTCTCTCTTCTTTTTAACACTAATTAACAGCAGCCTCCTTTGTTTATTGATTTCAAATTCTATACAAGCTTGCCCCAAGCCCATGAAAATCCCTGTATTAGGCAATATTAAGGTCAAGCAACAGAGCCCATAGCCATTAAATTGGATGATTGCTACTGAAATTTGCCCAGCAGGGTCACACTGTGTTGAGTGAGTGGTGGAATTCAGGCCAAGCCCTGCATTAGGCAAAAAGTTAGGCAGAAATGTCCTATAATGAGACCAGAAGTTTGACTTTACAGCCTTATTCTGAGACCACCAGGAATGTGAAACCTTTTGGAGACCACCTGCTGTAACAAGCCCCAAGCAGAAAAAGCTAAGAGCCTCCATTTACTTTTGACTTAGTTATTTTTCTCATGTGAGATGCAAAAGGGAGCTTTTGTGTAATAACTAATAAAAAGAAAAAATAATAGAGGAAAATACTTAGCTGTTCGTGAGAGGCTCATGGAGCTTTTTGCGCATTCAGAAGTAGGACCACCTCTCTTTCATAGAGCACAGCTAAGTGACTTCACCAGGTCACACAGTGGCAGAAGCCAGTAATTGATGCCTCCCAGTTTTTAATCCAGTTTTTAAGCAGTGTATTCAGCTGCCTGCAAAGAATACATAAAGAAAAGACCCTAATATATAAAAAAAGTCCCCTCTTTGCTGAACATGTATTTCAGCTGTTCGGTGAAATAACTAACCTGGTCTGATGAAGCCTCCTGCAAATCTGATTACAGCAGCATCTGGGGGTTTTTTTGTCTGTGCAGTAAAACAGTTGTTGGGCTGCTTTCTGAAGGAAAAGGATTTGTATCATTAAATTCTGCATGCATGTAGATGGGTTTCTGCCATTTCCCTCTGAAACCTGTGAATACCTTGGCCAGCTTCAACCGATAATTGAGATTAAAGTGATCAGAGGCATGAAGTTTCTACATGTTTTCTGACAATACTGGTTGGGTAATTAGCCACAATCTATCAATCGTAAAACAGACTACAAAGATATGTGGTTTGTAAGCAGTAGGCCCCAACTTTAAATGATAAAAGTGGTAAGAACAAAGAGATGCAGAGCTTTGCAGTTCATCACTGGTGGAGCTCTGGGTGTTTGGTTCCCACTGATGCTGTGGGACCAGTAAGTGGCCATCAGTGTGGCTGATTGGCCAGGAAATGGGGCAACAGCAACCTCTTCTTCTAGCTGGTATGGTAAGGCTATAAGCACAGAGAACCATCTCTTACTATGGATATTGTGCAAACAACTTCACAACAGAAGTCCTGACTTGACTGGATAAAACATGTAGTAGGGAGTACCAATGGCTGCAACTTGTGCCTCTGGGTGCATTGTGTGCTTACCTGTGTGCATGTGAACACAAAGATCTCCCATCAATAATTCACCAAACCCTTAGGTAGCCATTCAGATGAAGGAACTACATGAACATAAACCATTAGTATTAAATGGAGGTGGTTTATGATTAAATCTGCTTTCCTGCAGCCGTTAACAAAGAATCCTCATCCCTGGCAGTGTTCAAGGCCAGCTTGGATGGGGCTTGGAGCAACCTGCTCTAGTGAAAGGTGTCTCTTCCCTAGTTGGAGCTAGATGATCTTTAAGGTCCCTTCCAACCTAAACCATTCTATGATTTTATGAATTCATGCACAGCCCTAAAGCACGCTCTGCTGTACTTACAAATATTTTGGCGACATCATACAGCTTTGGAGCTGTTGAAAGACAGCCCTTAAAATAAAGTGTTAGGGGATATGTTTCCTGTGCTGAAAGGCAGATCAGTGAGCAGGGAATCTGCTAGTGAGACACATTTCCTTCCCCACAGCCCGTGCCTCCGGCACAAGAAGGTGACAATTCAGCGCCTTCTCGCCCCTGTCTCCTTCTCAGCAGCACATTCCTGGGGTGCAAGCTCCTGACGTTTGCACCTTCTCTCCTGTGATTTTGGTGTGCCATCATAATGCAGACTTCAGCTGCTGGGCTCCCTTTCCCTCTTCATCTACTCACACTCATAATTTTGTATGATTATTTTATTCCAGTGAAGGACTTTTAACATTTTAACGTGGACCAGATTTAGACTGAAGGAGAATGTGGCTATTTCTTATCAAGGAGAAAATAACCTGACATGATTTTGTCTCTAACCTCTATGATGTTGTTTCTTTGCACTGAAGTCACACAGAAATACCTCCTCTGAAGGAAAATAGTCCCTCTCCAGGTTGTTTCTGCTTGTGCTATCCAGGCATAGAGCTGGGGGTGAGTGGCACAATCTCCTCGGGTTCACTTTTCAGCTGAATGCTTCACTAGACATTGCACTTATCTGGGGTAGAAGGATGAACGAGCATCCATTTAATGCCATTTGTAAAAACCCTGTCTCACTGTTCAGGAGATTTCGTTTGGTTAAGTCCCTTCCATGGTATATAAACCATCTGTGTATGTGTGTCTTAAAGCTGTTCAAAGCTTTTTCCATCAGAAATGCCAGTTTGTTGATATCAACAAACTCATTAACTCAAAGCATGTTTTTAAACAGTCAAAAGGGCTCTTTCTGCCCTGCGTTTAAATATGAAAAATGTGGTTTCAAGTTCACTTTTCATTTAGAAATGTGAGTTATTATGAATTCCAGCTGTTTGCATTTTGCCTTCCAATCTTCAGTCACAGATTTTAAATCTCCAGCAGAGGCAAGTGCAAGGGCAGTGGCTGGAGCACAGAGCAGCAACAGGGCAGAGCCTGGAGTCCAAGGAAGGATTAAGCAGGAGCTGGAGCAGAGAGAGATGCTGGGAATAACAGAGCTGAGAAAGTGGAGCTATAAAAATGGGGATAATGCCAGAAGCCTCCTGCAGATGCTCAGAAGGTGACTCCACTGCACTGATTTATACCAAGAAGCCCAAATGCTCTGGTCAGAGTGTCTGTTCCCATCTCCACCTCCTGGCAGGTACGAGGGACCAGCTCCTGTTGGCATGCCATGTTCCCACAGGCAATCAGCACCTACCTGCTGTGGGAAGGAGTCCTCCCAGATCTGCAGAGAGACCCCTCTGGCTCCATTTTTCAGTTTTCACCTGTTTTCAAGCCACAGTTTCAGGAGTTCAAGGAGTATTAAGATGAACATCAAACACTGGATAAAATAATATGTCAGAATTAAGATTGCTGGTACAAGCGCCCTCTGGGTCCCAGTGCCATTTCCCTGGTGATGCTCTTCATTGGTCACAGGCACCCTCCAGCCCCCAAACCTCTTGCTGAGCCATTCCTGAGCCCACAGCCAACCACAGACTGGATCTTGCTCCCCTTCCCAGTGGAAGGACGTTTTCTATCCAATCTCTAGCCACCCAAGGGTGGCTACTCCAAAGCAAAGGATGCTTCGCACCTCTGTGCCCCCATTCAGCCAGGTTTGCTTCTAGGGAAGCAGGAGCCACTGAAGTAACTACTACCTCTGAAACAGCAGCCAAAAGGAAAGTTAGCAACAAACGGCAGCCAGCCCACATCCTCTTGCTATTTGGACTGAAGGATCCACGCCTGCCCACAGAAGGAGCCTTCCCTGCGGCTCGTCCCATGCAGTCAGAGTGATCGTAAATCCTCCCCTCATTTATGAGCTATGAATAGGGCCCTGTCTGACCTAACTAGGGCATGGAGAAGCTATTAGACTTCAGAGCAGGAGCCTTGAAACACATGCCTGGATTCATCAAAGGAATAATGGAAAATATTTTGTTCCACATGGATTTTAAGTAATGATGTTATTTCTAGTAATTAGGGATTTGCAAACTGTAGCCATGCTTTTGGGTATTGTGGAAGAAGGGGATGTATCTTGTGATTTAAGCACAAGACTGAGAGTTGAGGACCTTGTTAAGCTTCCCAGGCGTGCAGGAGAGTGAGGACGGGGAAGTCACTCTGCCTGTCTACATGGGCAATTCTTCCTGTAATAACATTCCATGGCTGGAAACATACCAGAATCTGTTGCTGAATAGCTCAAAAGCAGCACTGAAGGGAGAAATAATAATGAACTTAGAAACAAAATGAAACTGGCTTCTAGTACTTAAGCTACAGTGAAATCCACACTGTTCACAGTTGGAGCTTATGGCTCTTTCTCACATCCTTACTTGTCTGTCACTTCCTACCTTCACCACCACAGTGTCTCATTTTCTGAGAATGTCAGATGCAAGTATAATTAAACTTTCCTTTTATTCTTTCCCAACTATCTTGAGACAGAGTTAGGTATTCTGTATATATGTGTGTGTGCATTTAGCTCTGCATATGTTTGGATCCCATCAGGAATTGCATTTCAAAACACTGATCCAATTCCTGCTAAACTTCTGTCTTGTGGTCTGTCCTGATTTTCTTCCTGTTGTATGGTTCAGATGGGATGTAAATATAATAGGGTGTCTGTGGCAAAAAGGACATAACATTTTTTGACATCCTCCTGGTGCACTTGAAGTGACAGATGATGACTTTGAATCAAGTTTTAGTTACAAGGGAGCCAATATATTGCCATGATCCAGAGTCTAAACGCAAGTGAAGTAGAGAAAAATGGTCATTAATGGCTAAACTGTAAATAGCATTGAATGGAGGACTCAGATCTAGATGCTTCCATGAAGAGGCAATGCCAAGGAGTTCTTTCTTTGCAGTCTTCTGCACAGACATTTACATTTAAGTACAGTTATTTTCTTTTCTTGAAATACATTTTCTCTGTTTTATTTTATATGAAAACCACCTAGTTTTCCTGTGAGCCTAACCCTAAACTCTAAGGTCCAAGTGAGATGCAACTTTCACCTTTGAAGAAATTGTTCCTTCTGTTACTATTGCCATTGCTTTATCCCCTAGCAAGAAACGATGGAGAAAAATGCTGCTAACATGCTGTAAATATTTGAGAGTGTCTGTGCTTTAAGAGCTGAAATGACCCATACTCAGATACCATCTAAAAGGACAGGAAATTGGATGAAAGATTTTTTTAAACCCTTGTATTAGGTTTTATGAGAATGTAATCAGTTCATCCCCAAAATGGTCACTAAAAGAGAAGTACTGCACTTGTGGATTTTAGCTTTTGGGCATATTTTTTATCAGCAATACAGGTTTCTCTGTTATTTGTGGTCACTGCCATTTCCCAAACCAAATCAGATCATAATTCTAGATTGTTCAAGCAACCTGCTATGTATGTGTGTAAAATGCAGCTTCAGACTTAAGCTGCAATAGCTCAATGAGCACTGGCCAGATACATGGGTAATAGCATTATTACCACATTGTGGTTTTCATGGCATTCTTGGGTCTGCTTAGCTAGGGTATCCATTACAGCCTGCCTTTGGATTTATTGCATCAAGCTTGGAGCAGTACATACATCTTCCAGTGGGCAATAGTTCTGATATTTGTTCTTCCAAGTGTTTGCCAGTTCAGTCTGATTTACCTTCTTTTTATTTTAACTTCCTCCTCATTTATCATCGCAGACAGCTTGTATTGGACCAGGTTACTTAATTGGTTTGGCAGGGGTTTCTGGGATCCTTTTTCAATACAGTCATGAAAACTGATAGGCAGTCTTCATTTTGGGGGTTTGGGGGTCTTTTATTGGATCCTAAGGCTTCATATCCTGAGCAGTGCCAAGTGGGAATGTCTCTAAGAACTTGTCGTTGTCATTTAGCCACTGGGCTCCCATGCAGCATGTGTGTTTCCTTTGAATGCCTGCCATGGATCCAGAACTTCAACTAAAGTGATTAATGCCTCCATGGCGCACGAGTAATGCTTCTTTTGTTTCTTATGTAAACGTTGTCCTGAAACTCATTAAAAGTCAGTTATGCTGCAGTACATAGAATAGTCAGAATTTTAAACGTAGGTAAAGTTTGTGTGGGGGAATGTGGTGCTCTCTTTTTTAATGCACCAGGGAAGTAAAAGAGAATTTTGCCTATAATGTCTGTCCTTCTAAATGGTGCCTCTTGTTATATCTTGATTTCAAGAAATTGGCTCTTGGATCTGCCTGCTGGAGGGACTGAGTCAAGGATCACTAAAAGTGATGGGCAAGTCTCTCTGCTTTGCAAAAGTATGGTTAGATGAAGGGGAAGACTTAAATAAATAGGAAGGACACACTTGACCAAAAAGACAACCTACGGAAGGACTTCACCTGGTGCTTGAAATACTACAGTTGTGGCAAGAATTCACAATCACTCACTTTTTCTACTACTCAGAGAAATAATTTTACCTTTTGTGTCCACCTTCTCTTTGAGCAAACCCAAATAAAGTTGCCATCTCTTGTCATCGAATGCTTTCTGAAAGCTGGCTTGGCAAGGCTATAGAATAGAAACGAATTCAATTGCATTGGTGTTAATTAAGACATATCGTCTCAGAAAATGCACCATTAGGGTTTGGTCAAAATATAGTGGAAAGGATTTAGTAGGATTGTGTGTACAGGTTTTACTTCCATCAGAAAATGGTATTTATCCCTTTTCAGACAGAGGATTCCGTTAAGGCCACATCCAAAATGAAGTTATAATGGTGAAATATGAGTGCAAATATTGACTTTCTTTTTTTTTATATCTGTTCCAGGCAGAATATGAAATTGCTCCAGATGAAAAGCTGGGAGAGAAAGGAAAGGAAATCATGATGAAATACCTCACCCCAGAGGTAAGGGGCAGCCAAAGTGGCATTACTGAAGGAATGCTGCAAGGCACACCTTTGCTAAACAAGGTTGTTATAGGCTTTGTAAGCCAGACTCCTAAAATTTATGATGGCAATCTCCAGTGAATAAACCTGCAAGCCTTATACAAACAGTCAGAGAAAAAAAAACTATAATCCAATCCAGAAATTGACTTCTAAGGATGAACTTGAGTTTACCAGGGGTGTAAGTCACCTGTGGATGAACAGGGGCTTCTCTGGTCTCTTCTGGGTGTGCAAAGCTCTACATCTGTGGTGTGATCCTAGAATCCCAGACTGGTTTGTGTTGGAAGTGACCTTAACGTTAATCTCATTCCAATCCCCTGCCACGGGCAGGGACACCTTCCACTAGAGCAGGTTGCTCCAAGCCCCTGTGTCCAACCTGGCCTTGAACACTGCCAGGGATGGGGCAGCCACAGCTTCTCTGGGCACCCTGTGCCAGCGCCTCAGCACCCTCACAGGGAAGAGCTTCTGTCTAATATATAACAAATCTCCCCTCTTTCAGCTTAAACCCATGACCTCAGCTGTTATCATGGATGCCACAATTATTTCCAATTCAACTCAAAGAGGTGGTGACATTTCTTATACTGCTGTGTGGAAAGCACCAGCAAAAATGGTCTTTGGTAACAGACACTGTATTTTGGTACAGAAATTCGCACTCCTTCTCCATCACCATTTGCCCCAGGGTAGCCAGGGACATGCGAGACTGACAGCGTGGTTTGGAGCTGAGAGGTGCCATCACCCGTTTTTGTTTCCATTGGGCTGTGGGACAGAGAGGAGCCCATGGCAGCAGTTGTGTCCATGGGGTGGCACTGAGCAGAACTACAAATCTGCTGTGGGAATTTTGGGCAAGCTGCACCGGGACTAACCCTTTTTGTGGGGGGGGGTTATGATCATTTGCTGACTGTGTTTAACCTTTGCAACAAAAGCCATTGCCAGTAAGCAATAAACATCCAACTTCAAACAACAAGAACGATCCTAGGATTCTTTTCTAAGTTGCTTTCACAAGAGTAATCAAGAAGTGCAATTGCTGTTTCAACTGTTTTACGAGAGAAATACATTTGACCTTCAGGAGAATTAGTTGCATTTTTGGCAGATGTCTTTCTAAAGAGTTTAAACGGTACAATATGTTTTGGAGGTGCAGACCACTCTTTTTCCAGTCAGTCATTTTCCTACAATAAATTTCAATGCATACTTTCAGTTATCTCAGACTGCATTTGGGGATCTGGTTTCATTTACTGAGCCTGGCTAGTTTCATGTGCAGCCATCAAGCACTGCCAGTATGAGTTCCTGCTGCCCATTCATTAGGGGCATGAAGTTCCACTGCTTTTTAAATCCACTGAAATGACCATTTGTCATTTCTGTCAACAGAGGAATGAGGGATGAATACTGAGGGAAAACATTTCCCACTGTTCCCGTTCCCATCCGGAAATGGAGAAAGGCATTTTGCTGATATCAGAACTAGTGAAGTAAGAGGATAGTACTGCTTCGTTTCAGCCAGTCTTGGTGCAGGTTTCCCTATGCCAAATCCCTCCACTGCTGTCCCATGGCCCTCCTGCCATCTGTAGTGCAGCAGAAGTACATGGAATAGAATAAGCAGCGAAGAACAATCTTTTCTTCATCAAGAAATAGTGGTGATGTTACGGGAAGGGAAATCACTCGGGCTCCAGAGCTGGAGTTTCCATTCTCTGCCATGCTCTGCACTTCATATTTGACCAGTGTACCTGGTTTTACGGTGTTCAGCTCTGGGACTCTCAACATAAGAAGGATGTGGACCAGCTTGAGCGAGTCAGAGGAGGCCCCAGAGCTGCTGCGAGGGTTGGAGCAGCTCTGCTCTGGAGCCAGGCTGAGAGAGCTGGGCTGGGGCAGCTGGAGAGGAGAAGGCTCCTGAAGGGGACACCTTAGAGCAGCTCCAGTGCCTAAAGGGGCTCCAGGAAACCTGGAGAGGGGCTTTGGACAAGGGCCCATAGGGACAGGACAAGGGGAATGGCTTCAACCTGCCAGAGGGGAGACTGAGATGAGCTCTGAGGCAGAAGCTCTTCCCTGTGAGGGTGCTGAGGCGCTGGCACAGGGTGCCCAGAGAAGCTGTGGCTGCCCCATCCCTGGCAGTGTTCAAGGCCAGGTTGGACACAGGGGCTTGGAGCAACCTGCTCTAGTGGAAGGTGTCCCTGCCCGTGGCAGGGGTTGGAGCTGGATGAGCTTTAAGGTCCCTTCCAACACAAACCGTTCTATTATTCTATGGTTTCTCAGTATGTAAAATGAGCACACGATATTTACATTCTGTTCTGAAACTTTTCTGGTATTTGCAAGTTATTAACATCTTTGGCAGAAGGAAACACAAAGATATGCTCCTTCACTTGCTGCACATTTTTTTCTTAATGGAAAGCTTCTGCTTCTTCCCAGAGGGATGTTTAAGCCCTGAGTAGCAGAAAATACAATCTAGAGGTGAAGTTGACTGTGCCATAGCAACGGGTTGAATACCATCTTTTCTAACAAGTCTCCCACACAACAAATACTTAAAAAACTAGAGCAAGGCCTGGATTAATTTAGTTTCTTTTTAGATACCTAACTAAGGTACTGAGGTTAGGAGTTCAGGTGGCCTACTGTCCTTTCTTGACAAGAAAGAGAAATAAGAACCTCCAAAGGGCACATTTTAAGCTACTAGAATTCAGTGATTCAAAACTAGATCAGATGCTTGCAGTCAAAAGGGGTGAATCTGGATCCAAGTGTCCTAATGGGCAGCAAAGAAACCTTTTCATTAGGAGATGCATTACCCCATTTTGTTATCAATCTCTTCAAAGATACAAATTACCACTGATTCCAAAGTCTTCTGCTCTCAGAGGAAAGCTCCTTTTAAGTAGGTGTGTCTGTGCTTCAAAGAACCTGATTGTCTTGATATAAAAATAGTGTGACATGCAGCTTGACTGATAGAATAAAATTACAGGTTTAGTTCTTGGACAGATAATTCAGTCTCAGAATGTGAGGAGTATTTTTCCCAGAGTGCAGGATCAGAAGCAAAATGAAAACAAAAAGTAGACTTCGTGCTCTTTAATATTTATAAATGATTTTTCGTTCTTGCTTGGAGTTTTAAATGTCATACATATTTAATATAGAACGTGTCACTATATCATTCTAACGTGTGTTCATTTGCATAGGGAATAGCACGTTATTTAATAAATGTTATACTACTTGCACAGCAGAAAGGAAAAGAAAACACTTTCCCAGATGAATAGACATCACACCAGGACTTGCAGCCTCATGTGACTCATGCAGCCACTCTCTGCAAGGTGGTGCTCCATCACAAAGACAAACCTGTGGGAGCAGTGAAGTGCCACGTGGAGAGCTCTGCGTGAGAACGTTCAGCATCAGCCCCGCGGCCACTACACAAGCACTTCCAAGGTGGTCGAGGGGGAGGCCCTTTCCCAAGTAGTCACAATTCAGGCTCTTCGCAGCTTTAACACCCTGAACAGCCCCTGTGTGCTCACTGGGGAAGTTGAGAAGAGGTCTACTAGCCTTTTGTTGTGGTTCACACCAGGGATGGCACGAGTGGGTCAGGCTTGCACCATCTCCCTGGCCTACAGGCAACAGCAGTGACAGATTCTGAATGTGTCCCAGCACATGGAAAGGAAAAAAGATGGTTTAGGCCTCTTGAAGAAGTGACACATAGGAAGAAGTGACACATAGGAACAAGCTCCCTAGGGATGGGGTAGAGTCCTCATCACTGGAGGTTTTGAAGATGCTGTTGAACGGTGTGCTAGATAATACCATCTAGGCTCCCTTTCCCGTGAAAAGCTGGACCTTTAAAGAGTTTTTTAAAGGATCTTTAAAGGTCCCTTCCAACCTGAGCTGTTCTGTAATTCTATGTACTCAGGTCCTCACCTACAAGACATTAGTATTCCCTCTCTCCTGCCCAAAGTTTTTTGGAACATTCATATCCAACAGGCCATTCTGAACTATTTTAGTATGTGGTGTCCCTGCTCATGGCAGGGGGGTTGGAACTAGATGATCTTAAGGTCCTTTCCAACCCTAACTATTCTATGATTCTATGATTCTATGGGAGGGAAATGTAAGGAGTGCATGTGATTTTCATGCTGAGGATACCAAAAGACAAGCATTTTCATTCCTTCCTTAGCAGCTTCACTTCAGTGCTGAGAAGGAGAGTGAAAACCCATGGAAGAGGTGTCCTGTAGTTGAAGACACCCCCCATCCTTGAAACATACTCTGAGGAGTTATTAACCTGCTTCTCTAAAGAGGTCCAGCTGTGAGCTGGCTACTCCTCAGGGGCTATGTGGGGCAAGCACTGGTGAGAGGGCCTTCTCCATTAGGAGGAAGAGACCCAATGAGGCATGTGCCACTCCAGTACTGTGATCTGAAGGGAACTCCACCTTGCAAGCTGCCTCTGCTTAACAGGAGCAGCACAACAGTTACCACACTGACAAGGTCAAGGTTTCTTGACTAGAGTCTTACTTCTTCAAGACAGGCTTTAACAGTTTCCATGAAAAAGGCACTTAAAGCTGCCTTCTTGTACTTAATAAGCCTGTCAGGGCAAAAGTCCAACCCACAGGAAGTCTAAAATTTCTGAGGTTGTGAAATATGATGGTAAAACTGCTAAAATGAATTGGTCACAAATATTTCTTTCCTGGCTTTTCCTAATCTCAACAGTTGAGTGGGAATGTTTCAGGTTTAGGTTCCAGTTCTGTCTGTAAATGGAAAAGCTCTCAGTGCTTCATTGAACAGTTGAGTTAAACTGATCCCAGCTTGGTTGCATTATTTGGCTGCTTCTTGTACTGGAAGAGCAGAGATATACATTCACCTTTGTACTGCTTTTAAATCAGAGTTTTGCATCTCCATGCAGCATTTTCGCCTTCCTGGCTCACAGCTGCCATGCATTACTCTACTAAATCACTAGCCCACTATTTTCTTTTTCACTGTAAATCACCTTGAGATACTTTGAGAGACGCTATATAAAA